TACCTTATTGCCGTTAATCTTCATGGCTAGTGTCCATCCTCCATCTCCACATCCAAAGTTTTCCATGTGACAATAAACAGGGATCGTCTGCCCACGAAACATCAGTCGAAACACTCGACTCTCTCTGGACCAGTTATAGGGGAGAAAAGAGAGAATTGTGGAGGATAAGGCTACTTAAAGGAGTTCAGTCACAGCATTTTGAGCTAATTTTGGCCACGTACAAAATTACCTTTAAACTGAAGGAAACCTGAAATTAATAGTTTTCTAAGATAGAAAAACACCAAAGAGTTAACAATAAACCATTAAGGGAACACGGATGGTTAATGATAGAGAAGATTGACACGGATTACAAACGGTGAACTTGAAAAATTTAGGCTAAACTTTTCAAGATGCGCAAACCGTGATACAGCTCTCTTAACTGTCCAAAGTCAACGAGCCAGGCCAAAATTTTACTGTACGCCCAGAGGATTTTCCCAGTCTAGTGAAATAAACTGATCATCTCACTCACTTGACTGTATTTCCACTCGAGTTTCCACATGTTCGCAACTTGGTTGGTTAGTTTCGTTTCCTGCTGAAACGAAACGTGCAACGCGTAGTGTATGGTTTGTACGAGATGAAATCCAAACAGTTTAAATACCTTGCAATTACTAGTATAGTATCATTGAATGAAAAATTAAATAATAAGGGCCAAAAGTGATTAAAATGCGAGAAAAATGTAGACTGCTGTAACTGATTTCAGTTGCGCGATGGATTTCTCGGCGCTATTGGTTTCTTGGTGAAATCGTTTGCACAAATGTCCCTCTTCCTACACAGTAATGTTTACAAAATTAAGAAGAGATAGGGGTCTGCCTGGATATCTGTGCTTTTAAACAAAACGCCACGTTAGCGTCGTGAACTGAAGTACGGTGGGAAGTGAATCGAGAGGTGAACGACTCCGTTTAAATTGCCAAAACGGAATTTAACTGTGAACTTACTCCTGTTTGTCATAGAGTTCCTTACAAGAAGACACGTCAGTTACAGGGAGGACTGTAAAAAAGATTAAACGTCTGTCAGTTATATAAATTGTTTTAAACAGCGCTTGCTACTAACAAGACTCCGAGTCAATACAGTCAACGATCGAGCGATGTTAACCTGGTGTATGTTGCGGAGTGCAGGTTTTATTGACCATGCTGCGCGATTAGAGCTTCCAGTTAACTGGTTTCGTTAATATGCTACTGTCCTAAATCCAGTTACAAACCATCGTGTTGTTGGCCCCACCAGCCCCTGTGCAAGGTTGTTCCAGTACACCAGTTAATTTAATTATTACCAGTAAAATATGATGTACATTGAAAGTATGAGTACAAATGAAAGGTTTTTGCTGTGTTTCTTACGTAATGTTTCTGCTGTACTGAGAATGTTTTCACAGTGTGCTCCGGTGTACCTTTCTTTACAGATACATTTGCGGTTTCCGTCACATTGCTCCACGCAAATGCCGCCATTTTGACATGAACCAACACCGCATGCGAGAGGCTGCTGAGAATGAAGATAAATAAGAAAGATCCAGTAACCGGTCGATTGTCTTTTTTCTTACATGTGGACTTGAAGATTACGTGCTACTAAGATATAACCCCAAACGTCAGAAATTTAATGTCAATTCTCGTGCTTCCTCAAACCATATGCAGCTGAGACATGCCACCTAGATCTTACTGGAGGTAGGAGTAATGATGAGCTCTCGTGTGCTCGTAGTGAAACATCGGTGTTATATTTGAACTAGAGTCTCCCGCTCTGATCTTAGTTAATACATATTTTGAATTAAACAGCAAGCTTGTTCAAGGTATGTCGGGAACCAAGGAGTGACGCAGTGGAGAGAGCACTCGCTGGCCTCCTACCCTGTCGGTGCTCGGGTCCTAATCGTTAACCCGCACGGCGTCATACCGGTGCATGGTTTGAGATTTTTGTTGGTTTTCGTCCTTGGCCCGATGTTTTTCTTTTGGGTTCTCACCTTTTTCGTCCTCCGCGCAATAACCAACACAACAAATTCCAATTCCATCTGGTATGTGTTCCCGATTTGCAAGCCTTTCAAGTAATGCTAGAAGCTTAGAGGGACAAGCAAACTTTCGACGGGGTCAAACGTAAAAGACAGACATATTTTCATTGACAATGGTCTAGATTTGTTAAATTTTACCATATAAGTCCACTGAGCTATTAAAAGAGTGATATAATGAGTTATGCATAAACGAGGGACATCTTCACGGAGGCTACGTTTTCGGCTATACTGTAATGCATATTACAGCATCATTGCCCTAAAGTAACGTCTTTTAAAGGGTGTGCATATTTTGACGCCTCGACGACTTACCTCAAACTCATAGTAACTGAACCCATCCAGGCCAATGAAGTTTTCAAAGTTCTTTTGCTTTTTCTCGTCATTGATCTGGCACACGTGTCTTAGCGATGTAGCGTGATCCTCGAAGTTGAAGGAAACGCACCTGGACTCGCGCATGCACCGGTGAGCACAATCGATCACCGAGGTGACCTGGTACTTTGTGATCACGTGATTTATCAGCACAGCGTCTCCAGGTAACACAAAAAAGACATTAATTTTGAGTTTTAACGCCTTCCCTTATTTGCGAAAAATTGTGATTCGTTATCGGCTTGTTGGAAGCGTTTGGTTGCAAGTCAGTGTTCATGTTGACTCTGGGCAGTGATTTCTTTTGCTTTTCTAAGAGCTACGATGTTATCGCATTGCGAAGACCATGAATTTACATAAAACAAGCTGAGCCGATTGATATACGTATTAACTTTTTTGTTGGTGTTGAAAAAACGATCCCCGACCAAAAATATAGACCTTAGGACCTTCCACAAAAAAATTAAGGGCATGGATGACAATTTTTTCGTTGCTTATTTAGCTTCGGTGCAGCGACAGTATTTATACTTCTTTACTAGGGGATTTGAAAAACGCTTTAAATTCAATGAAACAGCAGTACAACTTAAAAATATTGAAGATGTGATATCAGGATTCATTGTAAGAGGTAAAAAACGTTCTCTGGTAAAATTGTTTAAAGTTGTGAGCTTTCAACAGCCAGTCTGCTTTTTTCGACGGACAAAAATGAAATGATAAAATAGACCTAAAAGTTTTTGAATATAACAAGCGAATGGCATATATTAAATAGAATACGTGTGAAAGAATGCAAGAATGCTAAAAGTGTAAATTTTAGCATTCTCGCATTCTTTCACACGTATTCTATTTAATATATGCCATTCGCTTGTTATATTCAAAAACTTTTAGGTCTATTTTATCATTTCATATTTGTCCGTCAAAGACAGCAGACTGGCTGTTGAAAGCTCACAACTTTAAACAATTTTACCAGAGAACGTTTTTTACCCCTTTTATAGCAGTACAACTGTTTGTTGAACGAAAGGAGGTAGCGATGGGCAATGAAAGAGTAAGCGAGCCTTTGTAAATTTCTCCTACAATTTACTTACAACTCTTCCCGCTCCTATTTTATTTGTTTAGAGAGATATTAGGCTTACCAAGGCACGTGCCATAAGCTATTGTTTTCCCGCGGTCGTTTGGTCGTTTGGAAGTTTGTTTAAATTATAACCGCAAATTAAAATACTGATATAGAGAATCTATACGACTGCAATCCGTTAGCAAGATGGTATACGGTATCTCTACCATGCAGTTAGTTTAATTCTTGAAAAGAAGTTGACGTGCAAAACCAAAACCAAATTTCGAGTCTAAGAAGAAAAAAAAGCAGCCGTTTTTCGTTTCGTGTTCTTATGAAACTGAAAAAGTGTTCTTTTTCGACGCAACACTTTCATTCTCAGTCAGTTTATTGGACCTGTTTCAATGGCAAATGATTTTTAGTGTTGCTTGATTCATATTGTACCAAAAAAATTAAACTCCTGCTTAAAGAAACCGCCAGGAACAACAAAAACCGAGTTTAACTTTTAACCGATATCCCAGTTGTACTTCATTTACTAGCAACATTGTATTTGAAGTGACTTACCTTGAGCTTTTTTAAAGAAAAACCGCTTAGTAACACAAACGTCTTCACCTCGTGCATGATCGCACCGTTCGGTGAAAAGGATACAAAACACTGCAAGCGTCACTTTGAAAATCCCCATCTCACATGCAAAGGTCACGTCCACTAGTAGAAACTGTTTTTGAAAATAGCGCCTAAAGAAATGTGATTTACTGAAATGAGGCAATATGTCTAATGCACTATTTGTAGCAGAACTCAGGCTAACTCGTAGACGAGTGAGGGATTAATATAACAGAGATAGAAGCATCAACTGTCGATAAAAAACAAAGGGAACTTACTTTCATTGAATTTTAACTATGAAAGACTCTAAACTTTAGCAGGTTTGTTGTTCGCGGATGAAGAAACAAAGTGTATGTGACATAAAATTTCAATAAGAATAAATATCTTTATTTATGAGTACACCTGCTTGGCTCCAACCAGGATAATACACAGATGCTTAACTTACTGAGGGAGACAAGTTACTAAAACATGGGAAGCGTCACAAAGATAATTCATTCCAGGTTCTCTTTTAAATCTGCGTTGAGGTTAATTTGTGTACGATTAGTAATAAGAAAGAAGAGTTTTATTTAGTATTCCGCCTTGAAAATTACCAACAGTTACTAGCGGTGAACTGTCGGTTTATATTTTAATTGCAGTTCCATGGCAGTTTTACGAACTGTAATGAGAGGAGGAACATCTAAATGTCAGTTTAATGTCATCACCATATTGCCAAGCTCATCAGCTGGCAGTGTGATCGTTTGAGAGAGAAACACAATTTGCAGTTTAAAAGTAATTTCAATGTTTCTCAGTTGTCATCAGTTTTCGTGCAAGTTTGCACCTTTTCCTGTCTGCTGCTCCGCACAAATGACCCTAACAGACTAAGATAAAATTCTCGTTAACACTCTAGTAAAGAACCAAAAATTTCTTATATCCAACTGAAGAGCCGCTTTTCCTCTATATACAAAAGCTGGATGACTGAAATGTAAACATTAATAAATATACGAAGATTTATGTCAATATTGAAAAACAAAATGATTATTGATGCAAACTTGTCAATTAAAGTCTTTTTGATAATACATTACGAATGTGTAGGATACAAAGAAATAAATCGTGTATCTTCCAGGAATAATTAAATTATCTCAGATATGCTGTCGCTTTCGTCGCCATACAGTTGACAGAGTTAGCACTTTTAAGAAAACCAATCATCTTTAGACATAATGTTTTCAAAATGCGACGCAACACTGTTGCGGAAAGGGGGATAGTTCTTTCTAGAAAAAAGTAGTGCGAAAAGCTGCTTGTTTGAGAGGCCGGCCTGTATTACTCTTGGGAAACCTTCTTCATTCTTACTCGAGCTAGCTCCTGTTGAGCTGTAGAGAAAACGGACTGAAGCGCCTCTAAATGACTGCCCAGCCCCTTCCATCCGTTTGTTGATTGCAGAGCACTTCCAGCGAACCAATGTTGGTGATAGTGATGTTATGTACATCTGGATTACCGTCTTCCAGTTGTAAGGGGCGGGAAGGGCGGATAGAACCGCTCCCTTGGTTTTTGTTCTGGTAAGCCACAGTAGGAAAGACAGTTACATTGAGGAGATAACCCCGTGTTTGCTCCACAAGGTGACAACCAACCTCGATCCCAGGCTCTCTCTTCTCTGCTTCCCTTGGTCGTTGAAAGAAAGACCCTGGTTGCGGCTGGTCACGTGACAACCTGTGACACAAACTTTTCCACCGGGGTAGAGTCAACCAATAATTTTAGTCGATCTTAACTGAAGCGAAAGAAAGGCAATCGCTAGCTACACCTTTGAAATCTTCCATTCCTATTGTAAGCTTCAAACAGGTCAGACGAAATATATCTATATATATCCAGCGTATTGAAGTATCACTCTGATTTCAATTCCAGCCGGTCGATTTACTACTAGAAGTAAAACTGTTTCGCTGTTTTATGTTGCCTGAATTAACCTCACGGCACATTGTTCGCTGAATAAAAAGATGTTTTATTAACCACTTTGCAAAATATAATTCTTGACTACGCCAAGGAACCGTGTTTCACCAGCTGTCTAAATATAAACTTACATAAACCTGATGCAGATGAAATATAAATGTGGGCTTATGCCTACAAAACAAAACTGCATTTTGCACTGCTGTAAATCAAATACAAGTCAGAATACTCGGTTAATCGGCCGTGTGACAGAAATACTTTTAACAATCAAAATACCGCACAAACAAACAAAATAATAATAATAATAATGAAAATAAATTACCTCCAAATTCAAAGATTCAAGAGACTGATCCACTGGTTTCACTTTTCGGTACATGACATTTTACATTTGCTAACCGACAAACAGTTTCTGCTCCATTCGGCTGCCGAATTTCTTTGTGAATGAGTCTTCTCTATTTTGAAGACGGCAGAAATCTTGTAGCATTCTTCATCGGCAAATTCGACGTCGAACCCCGATAGAGCGGCTAGTTTTGAGCGACTGCCCGAGGTTTCGAAACCCACAAAGTTTGTCACAGCAACAAACAAAACACTCTGCCATCCCTCCCACCCAACAGATTTTTTTACCACCCAGATTCTGGGTGGTTACGTGACCAGCCGCAACCAGGGTCTTTCTTCCAACGACCAACGGAGGAAGAGAAGAGAGAGCCTGGGAAAGAGGTTGGGTGAATAAAATTTTGTTAGTTATGACGTCATATAACGTCAAGTAACATCATCTAATCCGCCATCGTGGATTTCACTATTTTTGTTAAAAACTCAAAAAAGAACGGAAGTCAATACAAAATCAAGTCAAAATGCTTATGAAATGCAACTACAAGAATTTCTGATATTTAATGAAGAGAACTGGAAAAAAGTGTAGAAATCCGACCGTCCGACAGTCCGACTGTCCGATTTGTCAAATGTCTTGGACGCTGCCATGGCAACTGAAGTTTTCTGAAGCTTATTTTGGATTACATTTTGTACATGTAGTTAAAATCGCCCTGAGTTGAAACTGAATTATTTTTTAAATGCTTAGGTAGTATGAGTTTTCTCTCCTTTCATTTGCATTTCTTTTGCCGTTGCGTAGAGTTGATATAATTCACTTACGTCTTTCGACCGATGAACAGCAGCCTCTTTCTATTCATCTTTGAGCGTAGAAACGTTGAAATTTCTTTTAACAAGATTCTATTTTAAAAACAACCACGTTATTACCAATCACGGCAAGGCGCAAAACGCACTTGAATGCAATCATGATCGGCCGTTGTCAAGGTGATGACACTTTTGTCGCCTTTCGGCCAATGGGAATTTTCCGTCTCTGGAGAAACGGGGAATTCACCTTTTTTCAAAGATCTCTACAGCCCCTCTATTTATCTCGGTCCCCTTCCCCCTGCCCAGTCAAGTCTTCCGTTTTGCGCTGGCGTCTCTCGAAATTCTATCCGCGCGTTCAACGATCAAATAGAAATAAGAGAAAATACAGGGCTGTGAGCAGTCGTTGTCGGTATAAAAGTCCTTAGTCGTGAAATACTGCCACGAAGAATCTCCTGCCCAGTCGCTGATATTTCCATGGTAACGTTGTATTTTCAACCGGTTATTCACCTTCGGACTGTCCACTGCGACGTGGAGTAGTTTTCGAATCCAGGCAAGGTTAAACGTGATTTGAGTTCAATTCGAAGGACACCGGATGTCTTCATAAGCTTGTTGATGGTGATGTTCCCAACTCACCTTGAATAGTTCCGAAGCCTTCTTCTTACTCGAGCTAGCTCCTATTGAGCTGTAGAAAAAAGGGACTGAAGTGCCTCGGAATGACTGTCCGGCCCCTTCCATCCGTTTGTTGATTGCAGAGAAATTCGAGCGAATCAATGTTGGTGATAGTGATGCTATGTACACCTGAGTAACCACCTTCCAGTTGTAAGGGTAGATAGAACCCCTCCCTTGGATTTTGTTCTGGTAAGCCACACTGGGGAAAAAACTTTCATTGAGTAGATAACCCCGTACTTGCTCTACAAGGTGACAATAATTTTATTGGTTTTGACGTCATATGACGTCAACTGACGTCATCTAATCCGCCTTCGTGGATTTCTCTCTTATGAAATGTAACTACAAGAATTTCTGATATTTGATGAAGAGAACTGCAAAATGTATAGAAATATGTCGATAAAGTTAAGTTTTGAAAAGACGATTTACTCTAAAATGCTGAAACTTTCAGTAGCTGCAGCTGTTCATTCATCCTTAACGGAAATTTTGATTTGTCAATTCTGTACCCATGATTCTAGACGTTGCAAAGGCAACCGCAAATTTCATGTAGCTTTGGCCAATTTCTGAAACTTAGCTTGAAATACATTGTGTACATGTAATGCCTGAGTTGAAACTAAATTATTTTTAAATGTTTAAATATTAAGAGTTTTCTCTCTTTTTATTTTTTTCGCAGGTAATTGACTTGTATTAAGAACTGTTAACTACGCTGCTTTTAATGTACATTTTCATTCAGCGAGTTGTGCCTAACCTATGTCGGAAGAAAATGTAACCACGAGGGTGGTGAAGATTGTCCATTCCCCGATGTATGCGACAAAACTAACAATGATAATAATTATTACTTGACGTAAAACACTGCGAAATGCTTTTCCATCACCATTCTTTATTTGTTCTACAGAACACTAATTCTCGCAAAATAGAAAAGTATGAATGCTAATCCACTGAGATGTTAAAAGCTTTTTCACACAGTACTAGTTCATGTCACTGCACCAAAATATAACCCATGGCTTTGATGTGTTTGATTCCATTATCTGGTGAGTGAGTTGCTTCGTTTCCACACGTGTTGTTGTCATCATCGTCTCCTCCTGTACCAAACCCGATTCTGGAATCACAGCTGTTGCAGTCGTTTTGCTGGTTATTAGTGATGCCGATTCTTGCTTTCGATTGAAAATAATTATTTCCCACAGCATTGAACCCTTCTTTGTTACAGTTGAGCTGTAAGGAGGCCTGTGAGCCAATCAACTTCTTCCATGTGTTACGGCCCAATGAGGTGGCGCGGTATTGCCCGTCAGCGATCAGTGAGTACAGAGAGTTGGCCGTCTTGTTGATGACAATGAAGTTAGTCTGTTGACCGATCTTCATGCCGAGACAAATCTTGGAGAAGGATGTCTTCCAATAGGTTGGTAGCTTGGTCTCTTGTGTGTCAAACC